CAGTCTGATTTGGACAGACATGTCATAAAAGACAGAAACAATTAAAAAAGAGGACAACAACATTAGAATATGTGTATTCTGGTAACTGTGGGGGCAGGACAAAGGATGGAAAGGGAGACAAGGTTGACTTCTTGATGAAAGAAATAAGGATAACATTCAGAATTAAGAGAACACATATTTCCTCTTTGAGAAAAAAATTTTAAAAATTTAAAGGGATATTCAAATACTCATATTTTAATTATTACTCTCTTGCAGTCCATTTCACAGACATTTGTTTCTTTCAGGTATAGTAATTGCCTTAGTTTATATTTTAAAAATATTTTCAAATTACCAAAAAATTAACCCAAGATCCTGTAATTCCTTTTGTTTTTCACTAAGCACTGATTTTTCTCATGATCTACATAGCACCATAGTCTTGACATTAAAGATTACCCCCTGGACCTAATGTATTTTAACTGTAGTTCCTGGTTTGTTTGTTTTTTTCCTATATATATATAACTCAGTTATATTATAATTTCAGTTTGTACAATATATTTTGGATAATTTTATGAGCTCATTAGATATCTGCTAGTTCATGAAGAATAACTGTTATTAATCTTTTAAAAATTATTTATTTATTTTAATTTCATTTTCTATTCCAACCACAGTTCTTCCCCCCCATCCCTCTTCCTGCTCCTACCTGCCTCCGCCTCAGTCCACTCCCCCATCCACTCCTCCCAAGGTGTAAGGGCTCCCATGAGGAGTCAACAAAATCTGGCACATTAAATTAGGACAGGACCAAGCCCCCCAACCCCTGCATTAAATCTGAACATGGCATCCCACCATAGGGAATGGGCTCCAACAAGCTAGTTCATGTACCAGCGATAGGTCCTGATCCTACACCCTGGAACCTCTCAGATAGTCCAAGCTTCACAACTGTCTACCACATACTGAGGGCCTAGTCAGTTCCTTGGAGGCTCCACTGATGTCAGTCTAGTGTTCATGAGTTTCCACAAGCTTGGTTTAGCTATCTCTGTAGATTTCTCCATCATGAACTCAGCAAAAATCCAGTGTGTGTGTGTGTGTGTGTGTGTGTTGTGTGTGTGTGTGTGT